CACCAACAACAGCTCTGTTGGCAGAGGAGATGACCTTCTTAGAACCCGAGGGCAGCTTCACTCTGGTCTTCTTGGTTTCAGGGTTGTGGGATATGACTGTGGCATAGTTCCCAGAGGCTCGGGCCAGCTTACCCCGGTCCCCAGGCTTCTCCTCCAGGCAGCACACAATGGTACCCTCAGGCATGGTGCCCACAGGGAGAACATTGCCAATGTTGAGTTGGGCTGCCAGGAAAAGTGGCATAAGACTGTCAGTGCCATCAATGGGAACATGAACCTGAACCCACAGGAAGCAATGCGTAAACAGGAGAGGTGTGCACAAAAGGAATCCACACAAATTTCAAGAAACTTGAATGGGTACTCTTCTAGCCACGCGGATCTCCCCAGGCGACATTTCTAACCAGTAAATTCTTACCCAAGCACAGGTTGTGTACCCTTTAAACACCCCCTTCCCGCTCCACTTGCCCTTCCTTCCCGATCGCAAGGCTCACCTTTCTTGCCGCAATACACGAATTGGCCCGTGTGGATACCCTCGGCGGCGATGAACAACTCGGTACGCTTCTTGAATCGGTACGGATCCCGGAAGACCACCTTAGCGAGGGGTGCGCCGCGGCCCGGGTCGTGGATAATGTCCTGCAGGTCAAGACGGCGTTAGCGCGGGGCCGAGGTAGGACGCCCCGCGCCCCCACCCGCCAAGGGCTGGCTCCACGCACCTTCACGATACCCTTGATGTAGCCGTGTCGTTCTGCAAAATCCACGGCGCGTAGACGAGCAGCGCCCTTGCGATGCTTCACGTGCGCGCGAAACACAGACCCAGCACCCTTTCTCTGTCCACGGATCACGCGGCCCATGACGGCGGGTCTAGTAGAAGTTCACAGTCAGCGTCAGCTGGGAGAGCCCGCCGGCCCGGCTTCCCCGGACCCGCCCCACCGGTCGTACGCGCCCCCGCACCGGCCGTTCGGCGCCCCATTCCAGGGTGCACGCCTGCGCCACCTCAGAAGAGTCGCTGAGGTCCACGGCTAGCCCCATCGTGCTCTAGAGAAGCAGATGGCGGCGGATGCGCCCAAGGCCGCGGCGCCACACACACAACTTACCTGTCCCGGAGCGCGGCCGAAAGAGGAAACGCGACGTCCCCGAGCCGCCTTATCTTCCGGGGCGGGGCTGGAGGAAGCCCCCTTCCGGGAGCAGTGCATGCCGTTATTCGTAGTTCCCCGCTGGCGTCCCGTTCCCCGGCTCCCACTGCTTCAGCACGAGCTCAGTTTGGCGGTCCATCACTGTCGTGGACCGGAAATCGAGTCAGGGTACCGGGCCTCAGTTGTCTATCCAGGGCCTCACAGAGACTCGCGCCGAGGTGCAGGTTATGGGGTGCCAGGGTGGCCTGGGCAGGGGTTTCTGCTAGTGTAGGGCACGATGTGGGCAGGGCCGACTAGCGTGCAGAATCGGGGAGCCAGGTTCTTTTTGAAGCGAGAGGAGTCGGATCTGGGTAGCAAATAACCAGTGTCACCTCCTACGGCAGAGCCTCTCCTGGACGCAAAAAGGTTGAGAAGCAGGAGGGCATCCCCTTGCCAACTAGTCCCCGACCCCAAAGATAAGACCTTATGGACAAGTAAACAAAAAAGCTGCAGTAAAACTACGGGCAGAGGTGCAGGTTCTAGGTACAGGAAAAAGTCACTCCTCTATACAAACAGCCAAGAGCCCCTTCTTTTTTTCTTTTCTTTTTAATTTTTTTTTTTAGGGAAGGGTCTACAGGGTGTTCAGGGTCTCACTACTAGATCAGACTCGTAGTAATCCACCGGGTTACAGCCGGCTAAGAGCTGGGATTACAAGCACGTGCCAACTCGCCCAGTCTCAATTGCGGGCTCCGTGCACCCTGGGGCGGGGCCTACACGGCAGGCCCGAGAATCGAACACCCGGCCCCTGCCCCTGCTTCAGGCGCTTTAATCTGCTGAGCTATTTGGCCGTCCCTGGTTTCCATTTTCTTGGTGTATAAAGTTTTATTTGCTGGGCCTCCAGCTGCACACAGGAACACAGTCATTACATACTGCAAACAGGTACTTATAAAAAAGACAAAAATGGCATCTTCTTATTTAAGAGCATTGGTGATTTTTATATTTCTGAAGGCTTTTTTTTTTTTTTTTTTTTGAGCCGGCTCAGCATGCCTTAAAGGCAGGTCTGGTAAAGCATGAGGATCTGGGGATCGAACCACAGAATCCTGAGCCTGACTGCTTTGCTTAAGCAGGCACTTAACTGAGCCAATGGGCAGGCCCCCAAAGTTAAGGTTTTGTTTTGTTTTGTTTCAGTTAT